AACTTTGAAAGTGCAAATTGAGATTCAAATGATTTTTCAGATGTAAGTTGAGATTAACCCAAATAAAAAATAAGTGATATTATAACATTTTTAACCATGACTCAAATTTAAGTAAAAAAAATTGATTTAGTATAGAGTACTGCAATAAACAAACTCAAACATTTACTCAAATATTTTAAAAAATTTCCTTATTATCCCAAATCTCATTTTTTTTTTTGTGTCATTCAAATTGTGATATTTGATAAAATAAAATAAAACTTTCAAATCTCTCAACAAATAGGTAATTCAAAAAAAATATATATGTATACAATACTACATGAAAAATAAAGAAATCACCTCAGAATTCTAAAATTGTTTTAATCTCTTATCATTTTTTATAAATCTAGATAAAAACAAAGAAAAATAAAAAAAATATAATTATTTTGACACGAGCCTAATCTAAAGAACAAAAAATATACGTTTTTAACAAAAATGAAAGATTGGAGAAATAAAATGACAAATTTTCTAAATTTGTGAGTAGCGAAGACTTAAAATTTTAGGAAGAATTAGTGGCTCGAAATTGTACTACCGATAATTTTTAACTCAAAAAAATCAAAGAAACATTTGATAGATAGGTTTAAAGTTTATATAATATGAAAGATAGGTGAGATTGGTGTTTTGAAAAATACAAAAAATCAAGAAAATGAAAGATGAAAAAGAAAAAACTTACCTACAAGCCTTCAAATGATTTGTGAAAACTTCGATGGTAGTCAATAATGGAGGCAGTGTAATAGAGAGAGGCAGAAAACAAGTCGTCGAAAATGTATGTTTTTTTAGAAAGTAAGAACGAGTAAACTCCACTTAATATGTATGTTTTTTGACAAGACGACTTGATATGTCTAGNAAAGATGAAAAAGAAAAAACTTACCTACAAGCCTTCAAATGATTTGTGAAAACTTCGGTGGTAGTCAATGATGGAGGCAGTGTAATAGAGAGAGGCAGAAAACAAGTCGTCGAAAATGTATGTTTTTTTAAAAAGTAAGAACGAGTAAACTCCACTTAATATGTATGTTTTTTGACAAGACGACTTGATATGTCTAAGGCATCACTTCTTACTAAGATAAGAGTTGATTATGTTCCACTACTTTTAGAGATTCTATTGTCTTCCTTTCACACTTGTATTCACATCTCTCCTATGCATAGGAGGTGCTTTCTTATCTACTATGTTCCTAATATATTAACCAGTAATTATCATCTAACAATCTATACAAAATNTTGATATGTCTAAGGCATCACTTCTTACTAAGATAAGAGTTGATTATGTTCCACTACTTTTAGAGATTCTATTGTCTTCCTTTCACACTTGTATTCACATCTCTCCTATGCATAGGAGGTGCTTTCTTATCTACTATATTCCTAATATATTAACCAGTAATTATCATCTAACAATCTATACAAAATAATAATAATAATAATAAAATCCATGTACATAAAAAATAATAATAATAATTGATTATTCATAGTGGATCAAAGATTCGTATAACATCAAATAGAATCTAAGAAATAATAAAATATCAAAAACAAAAGGAATCACTATTTTACTCACAGAGCCACACACATATGGATTTTTATCGGGATCAATTGAAAAACAATTTTGTTATTTCACTCAAATTTAGGACCTAATCAACTATTACCGTTAGTTTTTGATGGTGGAGAAAATCGAGAAGCATGAAGATGGTAAGTGTATGGGGTACGAGACCAATGCTGACTGTTTGTTAAGTTAAAGAGTAAATTACATTTGGAGTCCACGAGATTTGTTACTTAATTAGATACATCCCTTCATGTTTGAGAAACAACATTGAGACCCCTTAAAGTATGAACGCTTGTAACATATAAATCCTTATCGTTAAAATCTATCAAATATGTCGNTAGATACATCCCTTCATGTTTGAGAAACAACATTGAGACCCCTTAAAGTATGAACGCGTGTAACATATAAACCCTTATCGTTAAAATCTATCAAATATGTCGTTAAAATACGATAACGTCGACATATTTTTTATACAAAAATCCTAAATCACCCTTTCACCAATTTTTTTTTTAAGGAACAAATACGAATATCATGTAATATATCATCAAAAGAAAAAAAAAATAATAAAAATTGAAGTCTTTCGAACTCAACTCTAAGGTCTTATTTGGTACGAAAGAAACTTGGATGAATGAAAAATAAAGAGGAAGGAAAGAGTAATATCCTTTGTTTGGTCTCAAAGAAAAAGCAAATGGAATGGAAAAATGGGTAGAAAGCGATTCCATTTTGGCTGCCATTTTTTTTTTCCCTTCAACAACGGGTGAAAGTGGGAGAGAAGTGTTGGTCGACTGTATGAGGCTAATCAAATTACCTTTATGCCCTTCACAGAGATGTTATTTTTACATGGGCAAGATTTTTCTAAGCACGTCACAAGTCAATTTTTTTTTTTTTTTTGGTATCAAATAGGATTTTTAGGTCTGATTTGTACACTTCTTATTTTACCCTTTCTTTGACCCAATATATAATAAAAAATATTATTTTTATATTCAAGGAGGGTATAATAATAAATTGGGTTTATGTATTTTTTCATTCCATTCCTTTTTCCTTCTTGTAAAAATTTATCCCTCAATTATTTCATTCATCATAATACAAATTAGATCCATATTACAGATGATAGCATTATTCTTAGGTTTATCAATCGTGTTGGGTGAAACAGGTTCATATTGAATCTTTAGCCAGTTTGTATCAGAAAACACTCCACTCATGTCTAATTTATTTATTAATTCGTCTATAATGAGTCGTGTTATTTCGGGTTCGTGTAGTATATGAATCATATATAATTGGTGTATAAATGATTTGAGTCATATATTTTTTTTGATTTGCTTCACTCATACTAAATTTATTTATTATTCGTCTCATGTCGAGTTCAATCGTTCATAAAATAAGTGACTTAAAGAAGACTTAAACTCTATAATATCGTATCGTGTTAATCAACCATCTCATATTTTTCGCACCTCTAATTGTTGTTTGTAAAAGCATGGACAGAACGAGGTGTATTCAGAAGCTACAAACGAAAAATGCCCACAAATCCCGAGTGGAATATTCAACCCAGATTTTAAATCCATACCTACTTCAGTAATCCAACACAAACAGCTGGTATGGATTTGGATGCAATCTTCCCAGCCCAGCCCAAAATCCACAGTCTTGTCAGTGACAATTTGCAGATACGATAGGAGGAGGATTTTGTCTCAAAGCTCGACTTTGTGCCTTGTTTTGCCACTTTCCTGATCAGATTAGAACAATGAGATACTTAGGTTGTTACTACAATTTCTAGATTTGTGTACGTNTTTCCTGATCAGATTAGAACAATGAGATACTTAGGTTGTTACTACAATTTCTAGATTGTGTACGTTCTAATGGTTTTANATTTTGTCTCAAAGCTCGACTTTGTGCCTTGTTTTGCCACTTTCCTGATCAGATTAGAACAATGAGATACTTAGGTTGTTACTACAATTTCTAGATTTGTGTACGTTGTCAATCCTAAAATGAAGAAACCTTGAGCTGAGTTACAATTTCAATAATACATCAATTAGGGTTTTTTTTTTTTAATTTTTTTTATTTTAAATCTGAATAATATTGAAAGCATGAAATGGGTAATTTGAGGAAGGACGAAAAACTTGAACCCCAGTAGTAATGGTGTTTTTGGAGACTAGGAAGGCTTAATTTCCTTGAGACTTGTTAATTAAATAAGAAAATCAATTGCTGGTTTAAGGTTTTAACTTTGGAAAATACTAAATAGATTTAAAAAACTAGTTTAAAAACTTGACTTGAGCATCACTACATTAAATAGATAGCGGGCCACATTTTTATTGTGTATTCCTCCTCGTATTTGATGCTTCATGGAATATAGTATAAATGCAAATCAGCCAACAATGCTTCTTCTAGTTCTTATAAGCTTTGTTGGTATTGGTTGTATTCTTATTCTTGTTCATTTTCTTCTTGTTGTTGATTCTGTCATATTCTTGTTTTTATTTTTGTTTTTTAACTTTTGTGGATTTTTCAAATACTTCCATAAAGTGAAAAGGTTTTAAGATGAAAAGGGCCCAAGAAAAATGATTTGTGTTCGTGTTAGAGACTTATTATTTATACTTACCCAAAAAAAAGACTTATCATATTGATAGATGATTTGAACATTGTTGTGTTTAGATTATAAAGGATTTGGTTGGAAAATAAAGGGAATGTGCTTTCTTTACAATAATTTGGGTGATTTGGTTGGAGAGAAATTCAAGGATTTTCGAAGAAAAGTATGAAGAGTTTGACGGTTTTTGAAACCGAATTCATTTTTTAGCAATTTTTTGGGCGCTGGTTTCGAAGGAATTTGTAAGTATACCTCTTATTGGAGTTGACGAATTGGAAGCCGGCTTGTGATTGATTAACTTGTTTTATTTTGGTTTTTTTTTTCTTTCCTTTTGTTTGTTCTTCTGTTTGATGGTTTGTATTTTGGCTGGTCCCTCTCTGTTCTACGTCTTTTTACTTTTAATAAAATGGTGCCTTCTATCAAGAAAATATCGATAGATGATTTGATCCAAACTAAACCTTTAGTCCATTGATGATATTACTATTTGACAAACTCATTGTATCTGTTTATCCGCGGGATGTTGATGTTTAGATTGCTGACTACTGAGATTTTGGTGTTGTAAATGCTTTTTTGGAAAGAAAAGTAATGGTCAGTGAAAGCAATTCTTGGAGGTCATTTACAATGAATGATTGGAGGGTATGATTGCTTTAGGGAAATCTTTAGCTTCTTGTCTACTTGTTGTGGAGTATTTTGTTGGAATCTATTAACTATTTGGTGTGAATTTTCTTTGTTCCATTCTTGGTTCTGTGGTCTTCTAATTATTCGTATTGCAGCATAGAAGGTAGATGTATGATATGCAGACACAATGTAAGTCAATATGGTAAGAAAGGATAAAAAAAAAAGCGGGTAGTTAAAAACTTGTATGGCTTTTTTCAGCTGGGAACTTGAGCAGATAAAACATGAAAGAGAGTAAGTTTTCTCATGTTCTTACTCCCTGGGCACAACTGCTCTTCTGTATGCAGACTTAAAAATGAAAAGACATATACTAGTTACACTTATACATGCATTCATCAGTCAACATATCATAGATTGTATTGCACCTATTAGAGAGACGCCAGATGCTATTGTCAGGCATATGTAGGCAGAATACCATTGGAGGGTGAGGGTGCAGAGTCCACCTTTTTGCCTCTTTCACTTCTGCTGTTGTCAGCGAATTTCAAGCTTGCCTGGTGAAAACCTCTATCTTTTTCTGTTGAATTCCACTCAGACATGTAATAATTTTCTTCCGTTGTGCCTTCAGATGATGGGCCACAAAACATGCCTCCCCACTGTGGGAAGTATATGAAAAATAGTGGGAGGGTGCAGCAAATAATCATGACACCCATGAGAGTTATACCCGTTTCTGTTGAGTATCTCGATCCTCTGAAGAAAATTACTTGAGTTAAAACAGCGCCTACATTTCCACCACCTCCCGTCATCCCAGAGATTATACCTAATGATCTGAAGATCAAAATTTATGAAAGTTAATGAAATATCAGTAGGCCTAGAACTGAAACTTGAATACATTACAGTATATAGTCTTCACGAGAACAACTAATCAGGTTTCTATCAGTACTACTATCCTACAAGGACACTAAGAATCTTTTCCCGCAAAGGTATATATGTGAACTGCTTTTGGTAAAATAATTAGATGTCTTGTACTCGGGACATCCGCTAATTGCGCCTTCTCTTAAGTCCATGTAGCATCAATCATTCAAGTACAAAGTCCTGTTAGGTTATGGTTGGTTGTGCACATAGACTTTAAAGAAGATTCATGACTTGGTCATTCAATGCTTTACATTGGTTTGCTAGTGGATGTTCTTGTTCATTTTTTCAATAAGAAACAACATTTTATTGATAAATAAAGGAAACAATACAAAAAGCCACAACAAGTGTGAAAAAGATATCCAACATAAGACTTATCAAAGAAAACAAAAAAATGAACAATCAAATACTATAGTCCACATGATGCTTTCCAACATGTTGTAACACAATTAAGAGGGTTCTCTAAAACTCTTTCGACAATGAGGCCCAAAAGAGAGGCCAAAAAATAAAGTATTTCCCATAGACCTTCAAACTCCTTCAAAAATCCTCATCTTTCGTTCTTCCAAATTACGCATATTGTAGCAAATGGTCTTCCATTTTGTGTTTCCCCCATACCCCACATCATCCCAACAAAACATAGATTCCATCTTCCATGGAGCAACCCACGCAAACCTCGCAAGGTCAAAAAACTTATTCCATAATGCTTGTGCAAGGACAATGCAAAAATAAGTGATCCACACTTTCATTATCACCAGTACGCATAACACATCATTGCGGTTGGAGACAATAATTAGGTCTCCTTTTTTGAAGGACCTCACTTGTACTAATCTAACCACAAGAAATAATCCATGCACAAACTTGCACCTTTAAAGGCACTATCTCCCTCCAAACCATCAAAGAAGGATAGAAAAAAGAAAGCGAACTCTTGTTTCTAATTTGTTACAATTGTCCATGAGCTTCTTGTTCAGGACTTCCCTAGACTACATGTTTCTCGTTTGTTACTCTTACCTATTTCAAGATCAATTCTTGTATTGGCTGTTCATGCACTGCATCAACTGGTTGATCTTATTCTGAAACAGAGGACCCTGGCTAAGAGAGGCCCCTTTACATTGTTGAACATCCAATTAAGGTCAATTTTTCCCAAACCATGTTGTAGTTTTCATTTTCATGATATGTTTGTTTTTCTCTTATCATGTTAAAACTTGAGACTGATATCTCCTATGCTTTAATAGCTACTGTCAAATGTGATGCTCTAACTGCCAGAACTTTGAGTTTGACCTTTACCAAAGGCGAGGCGACACACTTAGGAGAGCTGCCTTCCTGTTCTCCACCTGATTCACTCCCCTTTTCTATAGGTATGGATTGCTATTTGTAAATATAGTTGTATATTCAACAAATGAAAATGAGTAGAAAGTTTAAATTATGCAATTTGCATCTGTGTATGTCAGCCAAAATGCAAAATTTTTGTTGTCATCAACCAAAAAACGGAAGAATCCTTGGAAAAAAGAAATCTAGAGTATATAATGACTACAGATTGTATATCGTAGAGAGCGTACCTTCGTGAAACAAAAGGAACAACCCCAAATGTAAGGCCACAAGCTGCTTGAACAAACACAGAGAACACAATCATAACAGAAATAGATGCACTTAAAGATCCAACTTTCCCTAGCAGGATGCAGAAGAGGCCTCCTAAGGTCTGCACAATCCACAACGTCCACAACCTACCTCTCATCCCAAACCTCTTTGCCACGATATCTGAGAGAAATCCTCCTCCAGGTCTTGAAAATATATTTGCTAATCCGAAACTGGCTGCAATAATTCCTGCAGTGTGAAGATTCACATTGAATCTGTCATAAAAGTACTGTGCAATTATGTTGTCCACCGTAAGTTCAACCCCAAAACAGTACCCATAAGTCAATAACAAAATCCACCCTCTGTAGTTTGTGATTGCATTACGGAAAATTTTGTTGAAATTATCTTTATGCTTGTCTCCAGATTTTTGGAGTCGTGAAAAGTTCCCATCTGGCATGTCTTGGCCCAAGAAGAAGACAGCATATGCACTTAACGTCTGGAACAGGGCAGGGATGAAGAATGCAATTCTCCAGGCAGTGAATTTAGTTGCTCCAATGTTGCGGATGAGGGAAAACACAAGGGGCATGATGAGTTGTGTTGCACCACCACCAAGGTTGCCCCAGCCGCCTGAAACACCATTGGCAGTGCCAACAACGTTAGCTGAGAACATGGAGCTCATCCAGAATTGGGTGGACACAAAAGTGGCAATAGAGAAGCCTGTAAAAAAGCGGACGAGAAGGAAGGAGACAGGAGAGTTGATGATGGCACTGCAGTAAACTGCAGGTGTGGTGATGAGGATGAGAGAGGCAGAGGCGAGACGAGGACCAAATAGGTCACATGCAGTCCCCATGGCAATTCGAGCAAAGACTGCGCCAGAAACTGCAGCAATTCCTGCATTTCCGATATCAGTGGCCGTGAGATTGAGGTTGTCGCGAATTATGGGAAGGAGGGGTGGAGCAGCAAAAGTGGACACAAAACATGCAAAGAAGGAAATCCAGGACAGATGAAATGCCCGCATGTGAGGTGCTGCCACTGAAAATAGTCTGAATTCAGTTGCCTTGTGTTCAGAGTCGACCGGAAGAGCAAATTTTCGTTGGTCAGAATCGATAGATGCCTGAGACATCTCCATCTCCATGTTTGGCTCTTTGGATTGAATTCTATGGAACAACAAGGATATGCTTATGAAAGAGAATCAGAGATAGTAAGCTCTAAATCTCTCTCTCTCTCTCTCTGCACACAATTAAGACATAGCCTTTTCCCTTGATGAAAGAAAAAAGGATATGGAACCTGACAAGTGCTTTGTCTGATCTTTAAGATTGCTGAAGTCTCGGGAGTTAATTTTTGCCATATGCTATACTTTATTGCCTTGTTTGCTCCATAAAACTAGGACTTCTCCAAAGAGGGTGTGTGGGAAAATGGAACTTTGTGTACATCGTAATGGCAGATTGTTTAATTAATATAGAAAAGTGGCTGCCTCTTCCCGTCTCAAATTTTTTTTTCCATATTCTGTGCACTTGGATTGTGATTTAGGAGTGGTGGACTTTTGTGTGTAAGAGGGCCGCAGAGTCTCATTGATCTGCTGTTGCTTCATATAAGGGAAAGCTATTCAGAGGTAATTGTAGGAGTTGTTTGTTTTTTAATGCCTAGTGGTTTGAACTTCAAAGCTTTCTGTGCAGATTGAAAGAGGTGTTAGAAAGCAACTTGTTCAAAAGTGTTGACTATGGAATGTGGAAAACTCGCCCTCCCCAGAATGGCAGAATCAAATGCCTTGACTTGTTCAGAGATTCTTCTTTGAATTTTCATTTTATAGTTGAATGACCAATATACCTGTACCGTATTACCGGACTACGCATCCCGTACCCCAATCTATTATTTGATCATACAACTCAAATCAACAAAAACTTGTTCCAATACCCTCTATCGCCACTTTGCTCCCCTCTGTCACAAGTACATGGAGATCAGGAGCGTCAGAAAGCCCAACGAGAAACCTTTCACCGCACAAGACAATTCTTTCGCAAAGCTCTCTGTCAGTCGTTTTCAGTCCTGCCCCCGCAAGCCAAGAGGTTTCAAGATACTTTTTTATTTGGAAGGTCAGTTGTAGAGAAATGCCAGTCACAGTCCATTACTTATAATAAATGTGGTGTAGCAATACCGTGGTATTGACAGAATATTAATCTACTAACTAATGGACAACACAAAGTGTCACAAACATCAGGAAAAACCAATTTGATGAATGGTTAATTGATTTGAATGACCTCTATTGTTTTCTATTCTGATAGATTATCAAAATCATAACCTGTCGCATCTAGTGCCTACCCAATACAATGAATGGTTAGATTTTAGCAAACTTGCATTAATATTTACGGTTACTGTCTCTTTACTACAGCACAGGCATAGCTCCATTCAAAATGGCAGCCTTTCCCAGGTAGTCCTCTACTCCTCTCCCCTGATAATGTAGTGAAATTCCTGTCTGTTAAAAGAAATCTTTTGGTATCGTTTTGGTAATGGTTTTTAAGAAGTTTTTTCCTTTTTCGTTTTTAAGTAATTGTGACAATAGCATTTGTTTTCGCTTTTTATTGTCTGGATTTACTCCTTTCCTACCATCCTAATCATATATATCATAACAAATGTACAATTTCATTATTTATATTCTAAGAATCATGCAGATTATTTTTAGTATATAGTGATGAAACAATTGTTTTTTTACTTTAAAAAAAATGTAACTGTATCGACTTGATCTAATAGAGAAAAACAACTACTAGACTAGACTAGTGGTGGAGTGCTCCTTGTTGTTCGGATCTCTACTGGGTCCTTATTTTCCAAGCTCTATACTGTTGGGAAACTCTCTAAGGATCTTACCACCTTCTTTATTTACTTACAAGGGAATACTCAAGTGTTTATTGAGTAATGAAAACTCTAATATTGCCATAGACAGTGTAATAATCTTCCCAGACTCCCTTAAGGTTGGTTTTAGCATTTCAATGTCATGGATATCATAGGATATTATGGTTGGGAGGAATATACTAGTTGCATTGCTTAGTTGATTCATCCATGCTTGACTTGCAGTATCGTCTTTATTCTGAGCCACTTGCCTTAGTATAATTTGTCTAAGGAAGTCAAACATCTAGGTTCTCTTTCCCACATGTATCTTTGCTCTGCCTTCATCAACTTGTCCCCTTGACCAACTTGCTTAGTTCACATCACAGTCAATGCAATGATCCAATCTAGTACCAAGAGTACAAATAGACCTAATTTAGGTTCTCAATCTGTTAATTCTATTTGTTCTATTGTTGATTGATAGTGAATCTAATAAGATACCGGAATTTAACCTTACGATACCTGAACTTAGAACCTATGATTAAATTTGATTGGTTTAGATTTCATGGATCCAACTGAAAACTATGGTAAATCGAGAGACTTGACTTTTATTGTTATCATAGAAGTTCTTAGTTTAAGAACCATATGATTGGGACCAAATGTGTGATAAAACCCCCTATGTAGCTTCTTCCATTTCTTGCTATAGAGAAATATGGTCAATAGTGGTTCAAATGTATGAAGAAAGAATTTCTTTTTTTCATACCTCTCGCCATATGATCCCTATAAGTCTCATAATTGGTGAAAATTCCCTAATCCCTGCTCCTCTCTTTTCCCTTTTTTTGGGGGGAATTAAAGGGAGGAGAATAAATAGTAAAAGTATATCTGACAGATGTGAGGCTACTAAAGCTTTTGTATCTATTTTGATTTTCAATAGAAAAGGGTTTTGAATATATAGTGAGATTGAGAACTTTATGAAAGAAAAGAAGATCAAAAGTAACTTACTGATTCATAATAATAAATTAGACCCGCAAAGCAAATCTAACTACTCGTAATGGATTAGTGTTACCCCTTTAGCCATTGGCAGCATTTGGCATCGGGTAGTCTCGCCCATAGGCACCCATGCCTTAGCCAAAATGGCAGAAGTCTCATGCATGACTGAGGGAGGCAGTCCATGCATATGGGCACGTGGGCACAAGTCAGCATGCAAGCAAGGAAGCGGACGACTTGAATTGTGGGGTGATGCTAGCTTGAATAATAAGTCATGGGCTGGGTCATGGTTAGCCACAAATATAATGCAAGTCGGATGTTGAGGGCTCCTGACACATGCACAACATGTGAGGAAGTTGAGCATGTGCTTTGCAGACGGTGGCAGTTCTGGACAGTTTTCTGGCAAGTGCATTGCATGTGGGATTTCTGTCAGATTCAGACAAGCATGCAGACACCAGTTATAACTTTTCTGTTATCCAATCACAGTAGACCTCTGGTAGTATTTGAATTACAGACATGTGCCTAGGTAGTTGGGCTTGTAACTGCCACCCTGAATATTATAAATAGGGTGTTTGGGGTCTGTAGTGCAACAAGGGAGTTGACACGTTTTTGTAAACAGACCCCAAGGTGGCGTTCCTTATACTTTATTGAGAAAGAGAGGTTTGGCTGTTGTCCATAAATTTTGTGTCTTGCCTGTGTGTTTACTTACTGTCCATTCTCTGTTCTATGTGTATTTTGTGTGCATTCTGAGTGTTTGGCTGAGACTAAGTGTTGGATCTTAGTGCCATCACGAGGTAAAAATTTGGTGAGAAATTTAACCCGTGACAATTGGTATCAAAGCTTCAGTTTGCGACCATGGCTGGTGAAAACGCTGCTAAATTGCGAGAACGTATTACCCGTCTTGAAGATTTTCTGGGCTTCCCTCAGACAGATGGTGCAACTAGCGTGGCTGTGCAGATGGAACAACATGCTATTCAGATTGCGGGATTACAAATGACTTTTGATAGTTATGTGTCTGACACCAATGCAAAGATTGTAACAATGATGGAGGATATCATGTCTCTCATAGACGTTGTCAAAACGAATTTGAAGGATCTTGAAGATGAAGTGTCCCTAGTGAAGAGGGCCATGAATTCTCGTCCTACTGTGGGCAAGACATCTTCAAAGATTAAAGTTCCTGAACCAAAGGCCTTCGGAGGCACTCGAAGCGCTAAGGATCTAGAGAATTTCCTCTGGGACATGGAGCAGTACTTTAAGGCAGCCCATGTGCCTGATGGAGAGAAAGTAACAATCACCAGTATGTATTTATCTGGTGAAGCCAAATTGTGGTGGAGGACCCGGAATGTGGACGATGCCTCTGCTGGTCGTCCAAAGATCGAGACGTGGGAGACCCTGAAAAAGGAATTGAAGGATCAATTCCTCCCTAGCAATACAACTTTGATTGCTAGGGACTCACTAAAAAAGTTGAAGCACAGTGGAACAGTTCGTGATTACATGAAGGAGTTTAGTTCATTGATGTTGGACATCAAGAACATGTCAGAGGAAGCCAAACTCTTCAACTTTATATCCGGACTACAAGGTTGGGCACAGAATGAACTGCGAAGGCAGGGGGTACGTGATCTGCCCACTGTCATTTCTGCAGCATATGGCCTTATTGACTTCAAAATGGGTGGCAGCCAAGACCCTCCTGAGAAAAAGAAGAAGGATGGAAGTGGCAAGAAAGATAAGACTGACACCTCCAAAGACGCAAAGAAAGCAGATTTGAAGAAAAAAAAGAACGTTGCTAACTTTAACAAGTTAGACAACAGCCAGAAGAAAAAAACTTTTGATTCTTGTTGTTTTCTCTGCGGTGGCCCCCATCATGTCAAAGACTGCCCCAAGAGGGAGAAGTTAAGTACCCTTGTTGCTGCAAGTGAGAATGACAGTGATGATGACTGTCCTACCTGAGTCAACTCTCTCTAGTTGCTGAACACAATTACTGTGGACAAAGTTCAACAACCCCGCAAAGGCCTCATGTTTGTTCAAGCCTAGGTGAATGACAAGGAAGTTTAGGCCATGGTGGATACCAGAGTCACCCACAACTTTGTTGCCTAGAGAGAGGTGGCAAAGTTTGGCCTGAAATTGTCAGAAATTCAAGCAAACTCAAGGCAGTAAATTCTGAAGCAATGTTAGTACGTGGTACAACAGAAATACGCCTAAAGGTGGGTCTTTGGGAAGGCCAAATGAGTTTGATGGTTGTGCCCTTGGACGACTTTGATGTCATCTTAGGAAATAAATTTTTTGTTACAGCGAAAGTGGTACTGATGCCACATCTGAATGGAGTGTTGATCACGGATGAAAAAGCACCCTGCTTTGTGCCCGCAGTCATGGCAGACCAAAGCAAGAAAGATGGAAAACGGAAGGTGGGAATGTTGTCCGCTATGCAAGTAAATGCTGGGCTGAAAAAGGGCGAGATGACATACCTCGCAGCCTTGGTGGAGATCAAACCAGATGTGTTGGTTGAAGTACCTGATACTATGGCAGATGTACTAGTCGAGTTTGTTGATGTTATGCCCCCTGAACTCCCCAAGAATCTTCCACCCAAACGTGCAATTGACCACAAGATAGAACTGGAGCCTGGTGCAAAGCCTCTAGCTAGTGTCCCTTACCGGATGTCGCCAATGGAACTGGCAGAATTGAGGAAACAATTGAACGAGTTGCTAAATTTTGTCAGCATGAAGCCATCCAAGGCGTCATACGGAGCCCCTGTTCTGTTCCAGAAGAAGCAAGATGGATCGTTGTGCATGTGCATCGATTATTGTGC